TCAACACGCATGTCTATAAGTATCTATTTGAGTCCCTGCTTTCAATTCTTTTGGGCACAATATATCAATCTTTTATTTTATGGTTAGTTGGGTTTTTTTGGTCTTAAATTTTTGAATAAAAAAAGAAAACAGAAGTATTTGCCTTTCTTAAAAAACAGAAATTGGGGGGGCCGGCCCGGTGGCGCACTGGATAAGTGCACCGCTTGGGAAGCGCGGTGGTGCTCCCGCCCGAGGGTTCGGATCCCACATGCAGACCGGTTCCCGCTCACTGGCTGAGCGAGGCGCGGGGGCAGCACCGAGGGTTGCGATCCCGTTGCCGGACACGGAAAAAGACAAAAGACAAAAAAAAAAAAACAGAAATTGGGTAATGTTACACACACGCCCTCCCACTTTGCACCTCCAGTGACTTCTCAAGACACTTAATATAAACCCCAAGTTCCCCCGAGGTCCACAGAACCCTTGGGGTCTGGGCGCAGCCGAGCTCTCAGGCTTCAACTCCTGCACAATTCCCCTTGTCCAGCGAACTTCAACCCTTGGAGTCCTCCTGACTTTGAACTTGCCGGGCCGGGTCCAGCCTCAGGGTCTTCGCATCTGCTGTTTCACGTGCCTGGGATGCTCTTCCCACAACCACCGCTCATCATGCCGGGCTCGGGGCAAACGTCACCTCTCCAGAGACGGCTTCCTGACCACCCTCTGTGACGTAGCCACGGGGTCTCTATGGCGATGCCCACCCACTTTCAACTCCCTGGAGAGCACTCACTCCATCTGAAGCCATCTCATCTGTGTGTTTTTCTCACTTGGTTTTTTATCTGTCTCATACCTCTGGTCATGAACTCTCCTGGACCAGGGACCAAGTCTGTTGTCCAGAGCTCCATGCTCAGGGCCCGGGAAGGGGCCTGGCACACGGCCGGCATCTGATAACAATCTTCTCCACACTTTCAGCCATCGGGGAAATGCAGATCAAAACCACAGCGCGACACGACACCTCTTCCCACCTGGGACAGATGTGACCGAGAAGTGTGAGCAGGGATCAAAGTCAATTATTATTATTTTTTTTTTTAATTTTTTTTTTTGTCCTTTTTGAGACCGGCCGCACCGCACTCAGCCAGTGAGCGCTGTGAGATTTTTTTTTTAAATTTTTTTTTTTGTCCTTTTTGAGACCGGCCGCACCGCACTCAGCCAGTGAGCGCTGTGAGCGCACGGGTCATCCCTATATAGGATCCGAACCCGCGGCGGGAGCGCCGCTGAGCTCCCAGAGCCGCACTCTCCCGAGTGGGCCACGGGCTCGGCCCAATTATTATTTTTTAAATCAAACAAAGTGTTGCCTGGATGAAGTCAATTATTTCTGGTCTCTCCCCCTCAGCACTGTGGACACTGGGGCTGGGTCATCCTCTGTGATGGGACATCCTGGGCACTGCAGGTGCTGAGCAGCTCCCCCGGCCTCCACCTACTCCATGCCAGGAGCAGCCCCCAGTTGTGGCAACCACACATGTCCCCAGACATCGCCCAGTGTTTCCCCTGATGATATTCCCTGGGCTAGGGGACTCCACTGACCCTTGAGAGACTCTGCATCCCATAATCACCTGCCCTACTGAGGTCCTAGGAGGCTGCATGCATTTAAATCCACACAGTGAGTGGGGAGGGAGTGAGGGGATGAGTCCCAGAAGCTGGGGTCACCTGGTTTGTACCATATGCCCCATCGGGAGTTTATTCCGGTGTCTGCTGAGAGCAGAGGCCTAGTTCAATCTTTGTCGCTCAGATAATTAGTCCAGGGCTTTTTAACTTTGGCACTGCTGACACTTGGGGTGGGGTCGTTCTCTGTGGCAGGGTCTGTGTGAGGAGCCAGGCAGTGGCGGGTGCAAATGTCTGGGAGGTGCCGGAATAACCGCAGCTGCTTCCACTGTCCCTCCTGAAGCCCCAGGACTCGGGCGAGGCTGCCTTTGGTCAGCAGGTGGCGACAACGCCCGCTTGATCCTTGGAGGGTCCAGGAGGCTGTTGTGGGGCTCCCCAGGGCAGATGTGGGTGACCCCATTCGTCTTGTTGAAACACTGACAACAGTAACACCTCTTTGCACATGCACGGAGCTCCCCTTCTGGACATGCCAGTGGGGATGCCGCGGCAAACAGAACATCCACCTCAGCTGGAGCAGACGCCCCTCCATGACAATTAAAAAAAGGGGTGGGCCAGGAGACAATAGAAATTACTTTTGACTGGGCTCTCTCCAATACCCCAGTCTCACCTGGCCAGGGCTTGGGAGAGAATCCCTTGGGACTGGCTGGTGGGGTGCATTTCCAGCCCTGTGGCAGGTGAAGCTGTTATTCCAAGGCTGCAGCACTCAGGGACAAATATTTACAGTCTGCCCTCGCTGGGCAAGACCCTGTTTTTGCCTAAGCTAGAGTAGGGCACAGCAGAGACCTGCACAGACCCAAATTCTGCCCTGGAGTGTTTGTGACCTAGTGCAGGAGGCAGAAACATAAACCCAAGTGTAAATGTAACGTAATCAAAAGGGCAGGGGATAGAGAGAGTGGGTGGTCAGGAGATTGTATGTCTGTTTCCTCATCTTTAAAATGGGGATATCAGCACTACCGTACAGAGTTGTCAAGATTAAGGGAGATAAGATGAAAGGTTTAGAACAATGCCTGGTTCCAAACAGGCACTCAGATATTAACCATTATTCATTACTGTCATTAGCCTCAGCCTCTGGGACCTGGGCACAGAGATAACCAGGTGGGTTATGATTGTGTGCCAAACTAATAGTTAAAGGGCTGTGGGCAAGAGGTGGAATTTTAGAGGTTTGGGAAGCTCAAGTTTGCTTTTCAGAAATAAATGTTTTCCCTCTGGGGAGACTGACAGATGGTTGGTGACTTTGTGTGTGTGTGGGCAGGGGTGGGGGTGAGGGTGGGGTTGGGGTATGATTATGGAGCCCTCAGTCTGGGGAGGTAGCCAGGGATTCATTTATTGACAGACCTGCTGGGGGCAGTAAAGTGTCCTATATCCTCTGGAACAAAGGAGACGACAACTTTCCCCTTTTTGTCAAGCTCTACTTGGACTTTAATCCGCCTTCCCTGAGCACTTGCAGGAAGTTCCCCCATCCTGTTTCTGGGAATACCCTTGTCTGAGGATTGACACAGAAGTGGGAAACACCAGGACCCATAAATCTGTCCGGAGCAACCTCAAAAAGTCAAGCGATAATGAATCAACAGACAAAAGCCACATAACTTGGCACCAAGAGAGTTGATTTCTGCCCTGGCTCCATGGAGACAGGGAGAGGTCCTTGGGGTGAAGCCGCCTCCTCCCCTGGACTCAATTCTTGGCTGCTGTTGGAGGCAGGAGAGTTTGTATTGACCCAACTCAGCAGCGGTTGACCCAGGCTTCAGACTGACTCCAAGGTGTTCTCTGCTACCCCTAAGCTGACAATTAGGGAACCGATTTCATGATTTTGCAGCCATTTGGAACTGGACACTTGCCTGTTGCTCTGAGTCTGGTTTTTGTTTTTGTTTGCAGCGGCTGGTCGGTATCCGGATTCGAACCCTTGACCTTGGTCTTATAATACTGGGCTCTAACCAACTGAGCTGACCAGCCAGCCCCTGCTTTGAGTCTTGAGGTTCATCTTACTTTTGAAAGATACGGGATAATAAGCAATGTCGACGAAAAAGAGACCTCACCAATAGAGGCTATTTGTTTACAAAGAACTGAAATCATGACTTAAACTAGCTTAAACCCCCAAACAAAGCAAAACAGAAGGGCCGGCCCGTGGCTCACTCGGTAGAGTGCGGTGCTGATAACACCAAGGCCACAGGTTCGGATCCCATATAGGGATGGCCGGCTTGCTCACTGGCTGAGCGTGGTGCTGACAACACCAAGCCAAGGGTTGAGATCCCCTTACCGGTCATCTTTTAAAAAATAAAAATAAAATAAAATAAAAAGCAAAACAGAAGACCCCAAAGAAACAAAACAAAAAAAGGTGAAAGGATTCAGAACACGTCACTCCAGAATATGCCACTTTAGCATATTGATTATTTTGAGCTAAAGGAAATGGAGAACCAGCCAATGGAGAAAAAGCTCTTTACCACCCCCTCAACTGCTTTAAAGAAAGTATAAATTTCTCATGTCATAAAGGAAATTTACCTTTATAAAGGGAATTTTCATCAGTAACGGTATCTGCAGCAGGAAGACAGCTAATCAGAGACAACTTTTATCACCTGAGAGACCTTTTGTCTGCATAACAAGGCGTCCCTCCCGCCGAGGGTTCGGATCCCACATACAGACTGGTTTCCGCTCACTGGCTGAGCGAGGTGCGGGCGCGACACCGAGGGTTGCGATCCGTTGCCGGACACGAAAAAAGACAAAAAAAAAAAAAAAGGAAAAAAAAATTTGCGTGTTTTGCAAGAGGTCCCCTTCGCTTACTGTACAGATGGGAAAACTGAGGCATGCAGACGACCGTAATCACCTCAGGGCAGAACTGGAACCTGGTCTCAGCTAGGTCTCTGGGGACCGAGGTCATGGAGCAGGTGCAGGCGGGTGTCAGGTCCCCCCTCTGCCTCCTCAGTCACCCGCCTTTGCTGATTTCCCAAAGGTCCTTCAGGATCCTAATTTTCTTTTTTCTTTTTTTTTTTTTTTAAAAGGATGACCGGTAAGGGGATCTCAACCCTTGGCCTGGTGTTGTCAGCACCACGCTCAGCCAGTGAGCAAACCGGCCATCCCTATATAGGATCCGAACCCGTGGCCTTGGTGTTATCAGCACCGCACTCTACCGAGTGAGCCACGGGCCGGCCCAGGATCCTAATTTTCTTCGGCCACCTGACGGGTCTCGAACCGTCAACCCTGAGCTCGCTCAGGGCCCCCGCCCTCCAATGGGTCACGTGCACGTAATTCGGGAGAGGAGCGAAGCCAGGGGGCCGCGCGCGGGGCGTTGTGGGGATTGTAGTCCTGGCTCCGCCTTGGCAGCGCGCCGCCCCGCCCCTGGAACTACGCTCCCATCGTGCCCCGCGGCGCAGGCGGGGCGGGGCGGTTGCTAAGACTTGGCGAAGCGCGGCGCTCGTGCCCGTCTCCTTCAGGTAGGCGCGCGGCAACGCGTCTCAGGGTCTCCCGGGCTCCCGCGGAGGGGGCGCGGGGGCAGAGACTGGGGGTCTTGGCGGTTGGGGAGGTGACGGCCGCGCAGGGACCAGGAAGGGGGTTCCGGGCCAGGCTCGCGCGCACCTTAGGTAGGCGTAGGCGGGGGGCACCTGGAGGCCGCGCGAGTGCGCTTGCGCGCGGGCTCGGCCGGGCCTCGGACCCCGCTCGTCGGCCCGTCGCCTTTCTGCGCGTGCGCGCGCCCCTGCGGCCCAGGCCGGCGACCCCGTGCGCCCCAGCTGCTTCCGGTGAACCCAGCCACGGGTCTTCGCAGCCAGTCCCCTGCGTCGGGTCTGCATCCCCGCTGGCGTCCTCCTCCACACCTCGCGTCTGCGTTTATGTGAAGGTCCGCAGTCTTTTCATCCAGCTAGAAGTTGACCACCATTCCTAGGAGTTGTTGGAAGGGTGGGTTTTAAAGGCCTCTTTATAAGCTGGACCCCGGTTCTCTCCCACACCCCACCCCCGCCACGGGCCGAGGTTCTCCAGCTTTCGTGCAGAGAAGGCCCCCTTGGAGGGTAGCCAGGCTCAGCGAATAAAATCCCCGTTAAATTCGAGTAATGTTGAAGCAGTGCCTCCTTTTTTCTTTTTCTAGTATAAGCGTGGGATACACTTATACTGAAAAGGTTATTAGCGTACTTGAAATTCACATTCAACCGAGTGGCCTGTGTTTGTTCCTGGTCTGCATTTCATCTGGTGACTCTCCTCGTTGGGGAGCTCGTTACAAATGCAGATTCCGGGCCCCCTCTCCGTTCAGCGAGGCCCAGTCCTGGAAACCCCATGAGAACCAAGCGCCCACCCAGACTCTGGGCCCGTGCTGAGACTAGGTGTTGGCTGTTCCTTCTGGTCGGGATTCCTTCCCGTTTCACCCGCGTTCCAGGCCTGGCTGTGGGTAACTGCCTCCTGGACTCTGCTAGCACCAGATTGCTGGATCCTTTGGCCGTGCACAACACGCCCAAGACCACATGGCCCACGTGGCCAGTCTGGGCCACAAAAGCTCCACTGTCCCCAGGGCAAAACGCACGGGTCGTGCCACTTTGTTTTTGGAGGAGGTGTGGGCTCATTTGTGGAGCGTTGCTGCTTCCCAAGACGGTACAGGGCTCCTCTTGCGTTTTCTCACTTCCTGCTCCTGATAACCCTGCTTGATTTCCCATTTCACAGGGGTGGAAGCTGCAGCAGGGAGGAGTTAGGACTGGTGCCTGAGGTCTCAGCCAGGAAGTGTCCAATCTGCTTTAACAGCCTCTAGGGCAGGGCCAGGGCCATGTGTGTCCGCTCCTGCAAGGACCCCAGTTCCACAGCCCATCTGGGGTGGATGTGGCTCTCCAGTGGCCTGAGGAGTTCTAGTACTTGCCTGTTTTCTGGATGGGTGCTGTGAAGGGAGTGGCAGAAGCCCACCATAGAAAGGGGCAGGTGGTCCTAAGCTGCTGGGGGGAATTGCTGTCAGTCCCATCTCACGGTTCAGCCACACTCTCCACTGGCCACAGTGGGTGGGGGAGGAGCTGCTCTCAAGTGGAGCTGGTCCTCCCCTGGACAGTGAGCGGTGACCACCATGGGCAGTACCAGAATGAACGTAAAGGGCCATTCTGCCCTGTCCTTGCAAACATCCCATGATGTTTTAACCACGCTCCCTAGGGGTTGGCGGGCCCAGGCTGCGGTGTCCCGATGGCAGCCTCCTTTTTGTGCACTTGTTTTGTTTTTCATCAGACAGAGGTTGTACTCTTGAAGGGACAAAGGGGGCTGTGTTTGTCTTTTGCCCATGGGACAGTGGAGCTTTTGTGGCCCAGATGGGCTATGTGGGCCATGGGGTCCTGGGCGTGTTGTGCACGGCGGGAGGATCCAGCAAGTTGGCCACCGTAGTCCCTGCCTGTCAATGAGCCTGAAGCAGCAGCATCTGTGGTGGCACCAGGTGCTTGAGGGACACTAGGTGTCACCTGCACATTTTCACTCTTAGCGCTCCCAACAGCACCTTTAGCTCTGTACCTTTGCCAGACTCGTGTTTTAAGCTTAGGACACATTGTCCCAGTCAGGGTCCCCTAGTTTGCCATCTGAGGAGCCTGGCGCTTTGATTACCCATCCTATGGGGCACCCCTGGCTGCGTGTGACAAAGAGTAAAGCACACAGTTGTGAAATGGCTTAAACACATCCTGTCCATGGGGGACCCATCCTGACTCTGGCTGGGGGGCAAGGGTCATCTATACCAAGACTCCTGCAGGGATGGGATGATCTGGGTGGGCAGTGGAGTTTCACATCATTTGAAATCATTTTAAGACTATCAGTAGTTTATCTCTAATGTCATCTAGGGCAGCACTGTCTGGTAGAAATATAATATGAGTTGCACAGGTAATAAGCTGCTTAAGAGCCACTTTTTTAAAAAGTACTAAGAGACAGGTTGGAATTAATCTTTCTGTTTGGTGGTTGTTTTTTTGGCGGCTGGCCGGTACAGGGATTGAACCCTGGGCCTCGGTGTTATCAGCACCATGCTCTAACCAACTGAGCTAACCAGCCAGCCCTGTGATCAATGCAAAGAAACACCAATGAGATGGTTGACGTTCTTCCTTTCATGTGAAGTCTCCAGAATCCAGGGTAGATTGAGGCTCACGGCACCTCTCGGGTCAGAGCAGCCACAGCTCAGCTGTCTGTAGCCACCCTGGGCGGTGGCTGCCGAACTGAACAGAGCAGAACAGTTCATCCCATTACTTTCACATAATGTGCAGTTTTTCTGTTTTTTCCTAAATTGTCCCTATCATCAGTTGTGTGATGAAAAGAAAAAATATGATTTACGTGTAACAGCAAGAAGTGTGAATCTTCCTAGGGGAGTCTCCTTGGATACCCACGTCTTAGTCCATTCAGGCTGCTGAACAAAATACCATAGGCTGGGTGGCTTAGAAGCAGGGGACATTTATTTGTCCAGCAAGAAGTGTGAATCTTCCTAGGGGAGTCTCCTTGGATACCCACGTCTTAGTCCAGTCAGGCTGCTGAACAAAATACCATAGGCTGGGTGGCTTAGAAGCAGGGGACATTTATTTGTCACAGTTCTGGAGACTGGAAGTCCAAGATCAAGGCATGGCAGAGTCTGTGTCTGGTGAGGGCTTCCGGGTTCATAGACGGCGCCTTCTCGCTGTGTCCTCACGTGGTGGAAGGGGTGAGGCGGCTCTCTGGGGTCCCTTTCATAAACCCACTGATCCCATTCAGGAGGGCTCCACCCCATTACCTCATCTCCCAAAGGCT